AGCCCTAAGGGGCTTCTCCAGAGTCTGCCCCAACAGGGACAGGACCCAGGCCGCGAGGCAGTCGGAGATAATTTGTGAGTGAATTATCCCAGGGATTGTTTAATCTCTGCTGGAAACCAAGGGCACGGGGAGCCGGGAAAGCATGGCCTCCCCGGACTCTGCTTTCTCCTGAGCTGATAAAATGAAAGAAAAGCCCCCCCCCCAGTAACTGGTAAAGCGCTGTACATCAGAAGCAGTATGGATATGGCATGGATGAAAGCTTGGATATGGCATGGATGAAAGCTCTTTTTGGCTGGGCTGGATTTCATTCGGGTCAGTTCATTCTCCGGCTGCATCCTTAGCCGAGCGGGTGTTGGGGGTCAGGGCTGAGGGGCGGGCACAGGGTGGCAGGGCTGGCTTACACTTTGTGTTGGCTGAGCTGTGGCCCAGGGCTGGCTCCAGAACCCGCAGCTCTGGCAGACTTCAGGTTGCTCACAGAAGAAGAAACAATAGTGCTGGCCGCTTCTTCTGGAATGTGGCTCTTCATACCGCCCTGTGAGACGCTTCTCTTGTGGAGTAAAGTATTCTCCGCGTCCTTATGAGTAAATACCTCTTGTCTGTCTCAAGAGCTGTCTGAGTACAGGCAATTAAAAGGAAAGTCTCAACTGGCTTCGCTCGCGATGCAGAGCAAACAGCCCGCAAGCATGTGGTTAACTTTTTCCTCTAGTCCTACATCCAGAAAATAGACCTCCTGGGTCATCAGATGTCGTTTGCTGCTGTTGCCCTTGGCAACATCGCATGTCTTTTCGGAGGCTTATCCGTGGCCTTCTTAAATTAGGTTACGTTTTTGGACTAAGCTACTCTACTCTTGCTGGATCCACGTTTGTCTTCAGTTGAGCCATGTTCTGGTACCAACCTAAACTTACCTGGGCTCAGCTTACTGTCCCTTAGGTGGGGACAACCTGATGTAATCTCACATCTGTGCGCTCTGTCATAGCCACGGTGGTTTTCGTGTCACTGTTACAAGGGCTCATTCGAGGTGCTGGGGGCTTGTGGCCTTCGGGCCACTGTGACCGCACTGAGTGGAGGATTCAGGCAGTTTTGGGGATGAACGCAGAGTTTTTGGTCAAAGCAAAAAGCGGGGCCTTGAGCCGGACCCCGCGCAGCACAGTTCACTCCGAGAATCGGGTGTAATCCCGCCGGTGCTCGGGTCGCTGCGGGTCGGCTGGGCGACCTTGAGCCAGTCGTTTGTCCTGCAGGGCCAACCCGTTCCCTCTCCTTATTTTGTACTTTATAAAGATAAATCGTATTTGTCAGCGCACGTTCTCACGCCACACGTAAATAATGTGTGGCGACGCTTTCTTAGAAGCGCCGCAACCTGCCAAACGCGGCGATAAGGTGACAGCTACTGGGTTAGGAGCGTTCCTTCCTCCCCACATCTTCCCGGTAGCTTTGCAGTTAAATCTTTCAGGTGGGATTTGGGCAGATCCTGAGCGCCAGCGTGATTTCAGAGCAAGAACAGCTTGCAATGATTGAAATAAACCCTTTAAGGCAGGGGGTCCAAAAATGAATTTGGTTTTTTCTTTTTCCCCAGTGGCCGTGCTGGCTGGGACCCGCGCGCAGGAGAGGGGCACTCGGGCCGGGGGGGGTCACGTGGCGGTGTGAGTGGGCACAGGCGGGGATGTGTGGTTACCACTCGAAATACCAGCCGGGCATTCCTCCGCTCCGCGGGAAGGGCGCTGGGCTGCTGCGGGTTTGTTCTGCACCGCCTGAAAGCACCTTGCATGCCTCTAATAGTCTGCATACCGCTGCTCGGGGGCGCTCGCTTTTATCTGAGGAATGACACAGGAAGAGCAGAAAGCATTGCAAAGTATTATTTTTTTTTTAAGACGCATTTTAACCAATTATATTTAATAAATCACCGGGAAGATCTATTTTTAAATTCATTTCTCCTTGCTACCCAATTCAAACTAATCTGCAGGACTGAAAGCATCGCCTGCGCCTTGTAATATTACTTTTTTTCTTCTGCTGCTCTGTCTATAATCCTGTAAGCGTGTTATTTTCAACCCATAAATTATATATGGGAACGCGGTTGGAAGTCTGTCGGGGGTAAC